GATGCTGGAGTTGGCTGAGGATGGAGTAGGCTCTGGTGGTTTGTGGCTGGGCTTATGTGCACAAGCCACAGCTGGACTCTGAATGCAACTCTGGTTTCATTTTGCACCTCTCACAGCATTGTCACAGGTACTGGTTCAAGCATCTGCTTTTGGTCTGGAAAACAGTCTCTGGATCAACTTGGAGACGTGTGGAAAATCAAATTGAAATATCAAGCAGAAAATCTTTTTATGACACTGATTTTTTTTTAAAAACAGTGCATAATAATATTGTGTAAAGAAAGAAAAATATTAGGACTTGTTTCAAAATGAATTAAATGCTAATACTTATGACCTTCTCTAAGTTATTTAGGGTGCTTCCTAAAAAAATGATTCTCTGAAATGAGTTGGATTAAAGTTTGAGGCATTGTGATAATGAAGACCACATTAGAGTCAGAACTTTGCTCAAACCAGTAGAAGATCCCTTCTATATTGCCACCTCCTGCTATTATCGGTTCAGACTATGGTGATCAATGTGCCATTTTAATCAAGATACTTTTCTAAGATGTCCTCATTTAGTTTTCTAAAATATGTATTTTATTTGGGCTTGTTTTAAAGAAATCTTAATTTCTAATTCGTCCTTTTGAAGATAAAAGGGTTTCCTATAGCATTAAAAGTATCAGCTTTACATTTATATGAGCTTTTAATGAAAAACAAAAAAAGGAGTTAATATCTTCTTAAGATCTTATATTTAACTTTCTAGAGCAATATTTACACCTAACGGAAAATACAAAAATCATGGTTTAGTTACTCAAACAGGAACTACAATCAGATTTCTTTAAACATACCCTAGTTCAATATTTAAAACGTGAGGACCATTTGAGATCATTTCCTGTTAATAGTAGTCTTTATGTGCATAAGAAGTTAACATTCTTTAGGTTGTGAACTTGGTGACTAAACTTTAATGGTGTATTAGTCGCTATCTACTTCATGCTAACTGCCCACCATATAACTTCTGTTCAGAGGCATACCCCCTCCCCCACCCTCCCTCATAAAAATGTAGTGGATAGTATATGTGTTAGGTGAGTAAAATGTGAAATATGAAGGTCACAAAGATTATTCTGTATATAGACTCAGCTACTGTTATGGTGTAAGAAGACAGCTTGGTTTGAGGATCACACGTGGTGTATCTTTTCAAAGCATGGCAGTTCAATATAATTAGCATACTAATCATTGGTATATGATACAGTAGGAGTCTAGAGCCTAATCGTAGTTATCACATACCTTTTTTATATTAAATTTTTTTAAATTTATTTTTTTAATTAAAAGAAGCATTTCATTACAACAGCATTAACCTATTCAATAACATTTTTCTGAGCTAGGGTACATCTCT